TGCAGCATGAGAACATCATTGCGTACTACAATCACTTCATGGATAACACCACGCTGCTGATCGAGCTGGAGTACTGTAATGGTGAGATCCCTGCTCCCACTGAGGAAGAGGAGGATGCTGCGTTGCAAAGTTACCCTCGCACCAGAGCCTGCAGGGAATGCTTAGTGCTTGGGTGTCTCCTGGGGAGCAGAGGCATGGAGATGAGTTCTGTTGTGTAGCTGCTGCAGAAGAGACTGAGAACTCTTCTAAGCTGTAGTGGACTATACTTACACTTCTAATGTGCCCTGCTTTGTTCTTGTAGGGAAGCAGCAGGAAAAAACTATGAGGATATTTGAACCTCTCTGCCAGTCCAGAATGAGGCTATTTTTTTTTCAGTACAGTTGCTTATAGGCCCCTTCATTTGACAAAAACAAAGCTGAAAATCCATTTGTTCATTATATTCAGGTCTCCTTACTACCTGACACTGTCAGCTTCTATATTTACTGCTAGAGTAAAACCAAGTCCTTCTGGTGGTGGAGAAAACCTTCAAATTCCATCCAAGATCAAAAGGTGCTACTTGAAGTTTGTGCAAGGACCACACAGTATGGGACGTGAGAGGCAGGGATGGGGAGGCAGGCAGATTCAGTATGAGGGGCTGAGCTGTAGCTGCTGTTAGGAAGCTGGAAAAAGAGCTAATGCAGCTAATACTATTAGAACAGGTTACCTACTTAGATAGACGATATGCTTTCCAGAACAAGGCAAGTATAACATGCATATTTGGATGAGTAGGACATCCATTCTGGTATCCTGCATGTTTTAGGGGGCTACATTAAGCATTGGCATGTTATCAGAGAGGTTATTTTGATGGAAAAAGCTGTCATCACATTTTCATCATCTTAGACAAACAGCTTTTGCGGGCTCAGATTGAGGAGGACAAAGGGCTCGTACAAAATGTTTTCGAAGGGTATGGAGCAAGGAGCTTGTTGCTGCTAGTTGACAGGTTGACTAAAGCTGTTCTTAGTTCTTAAGTCTACCATTCCCTGTTCTCACAGAGAGGGAAACAGCAGTAGGGAAACATTAGCCTCTTGATGCTCCATTTATTTTAGGAATCCCCTGTGTCAGTTACTTGGCTGTTCCATAAAGACCACATGCTTAAGGCCACTGCAAAGTAGTTGGAGGACATTGAGAGAGGGTGTGTGATGTTAATGTCTGTATATGTATGTTAATGTCTCTAATCCAATTGTTTTAATTTGGGACAATAATCAAGAGGTATGTGTGCAGCCTGTATTACATGGGTATGTCTGAGTCCAAGCTGGTGGTTTAGAAATAGAGACTTGAGAAGAGGGAAACGGTTTTAGGATTATGGGTAGTGTTTTTGTCAATGGCTGTGTGAGTTTGTTGTTGTTGTTTTTGTTTTGTGTGAGATTTATAGTGTACAAGTCTAAGATCATTTGTAAGTAATCTTTAAAATAAGGCTACACTGGATACTGTCTGGCATTTCTCAGAACCTTCCCAAAAAAAAACAGCAGAGAGAAAAAAACAGATCCCGAAAGTTTCTGCTGTGTAATTGCCATGTCTCTTCTGGAGATCTCCAAGGCTTCCATATTTGAGCAAATATTCTCCCCTCTTCAATGAAGAAATTCTTCATTTGCCTATAGTGCTGTCCGTGCATAGTGGTACCAGAAGAGTTGGAATCATGGAATTATATCACTGAATACATCTGCAATAGTTTGAGGGAGGAAGCAACCTATAAAATAGATGTATTAACTTTTGACCTCCTGCTTTCTCTTTAAATTGATTAGATTAGCAAAAGAGTGGAGTGAGTTTGTTTTCATATATAGAGGTATTGATTAACTGAGCTTAGAACTAAATATTCTCTTACCATATTATCTTAGTGATATAGACTGGCATGCTGCACTTTTGTTCAGAAAAGCTGCAGGAAAGATGAAAAAAGAAATTGAAGTTGAGAAACAAATTTCTAAAAGCCTCT